TGAGATCACTTGCTGGTAATGCTCACAGGAGCAGTACAGAGACTGCAGTCCCTGTATTTCCACAGCCGTGTATCATCCCACTACATTTGCTCAAGTTCAGAGGGGATCAGCAAAATCCCAATAAGCCAGTTCCTGACTTTCTGTGGAATTTCAACAGCCGCCATAAACTCATGATGTGAAAGGAACCAGACAGGATTTCTGCACTGTGTGGGTGGCATTGCGCAACAATCCTCTGTGGCCAATGGATTCAGGAGCAGGACCCAAAGGGGAGGCATTTCTCCCCAGAGATGCTGTCAGTACACATCATTCAAGGCTTGTGCCTTTGCTGGATGGCTGCTTCAGGAAGGTGCTAGCCACAGGGCATCCCCGAGCATCCTCCACCCATGGGCCTGGGGAGCAAAGCCTTCCCCCGTGAGATATCCCCAGGCTGCCTTTGTTTCAGCACAGCTCTCAGCTGAGGGTCTGGCTGCTGTCTCAAATGCTTGCAAAAATAACGCCTGGCTGCGTTCAAAACCACACCCTTTCCTGCAGCTTTAGCTAGAGATGTTGTGCCGCTCGCGTTGCTTTACGGCAGAAAATGAAGAGAATCTGAGAGAAATGAGGTAATGGGATGTTTGTTTGGCAGAGTGCAGCTGGGGTCTTTGGCCTGTGGGGAGAGAAGGTGTGCTTTCTTCAGGAGGGGTTTTTAAATTACATTTTTAATGCAAAGAAGAGTGAAGTGGGCCTAAAAATTACCAGCATGGCCTCAATTGTGGTTCTGTTTATAGGGAATGTTTAACTGGGATAGATGGTGAGTTTGGGAGCTACATGGGCATTGTTCAGAGATTGAGAGCACCTGTCCTGGGCTCTGGTTTGAGCTCTTGAGGTGAAGCTGATGTGCTGGCCCCAGAACAGGGAGCCGATGGAGGTAGCACCATCGGTCATCCCCAACTTGCATCCCCATTGACCTAGGTGGAGTGTGATTTTAGGGGGACTGCACTGCCTTTTTTCTGAGACCCTCTGCTGCTCCTCTTGATCTGGACAGGCCACAAAGCTCTGATGGAAGCACATCAGACACCAGTGGGCTGCGTGGTCCCCTGGGAAGGGATATGCTCCCTGCCTTTGCCCTGTCCTCTGCTGGAACTGGGGCAAACCGTGGTTTTTTGCTTCCTCTGTCCAATAAAACGTGCTTCTCCCGGGTGGGTCCTCTGGCACTGCCCTCTTATGACCCCAGAGTTTCAGTCTGTGCCAGGATTTCTGCAGAAGATCCCTTGTCCTGTGCTGGGATCTTTCCCCATAGGGAATGGGACTGGCCCTTCTCAGCATCCCATGGCTCTGGGAGCTCTGCCAGCTCGCAGCCAGGCTCCGCTGCACACACAGGACAATAAAGCTTGTCTCTGACAACTGACTGCTTTCTGGCCTGGGCTTTGCTCTGGGAAGAGGCAGCATTTCTAGTCCTGTGGGAGTTTTCATCTCTTTCCATGTTTAGTTTGAATCAAGGGTCTATACAGCTCCTTGCAACAATTAGCTCCGTGAATTACAGCCCTCATTACTTTGGCTATGCCGGGTCCTCTCCTCCTCTCCTTTTTCTCTGCTCACCTCCCTCAGTAGCTTCTGTAGCAGATGGAGCTGGTCAGCAGAGAAGATATTTCGGGGTATGTGAGACTGCAGAGATTTGCATCGCCTCACAGCAGGGGAGTCCTTAGTCTCTCATGCAAGAAGAGAGCAGCAGTACACTTCCTTCTGGTGGCAGGCAGGGTAGCCCCAATATAAACATCTATGTGGAACTCTCAGACTGGGGCATATGGATTTCCTCTTTGGATTTCCATTTCCCTTGCCACCCCTTTCAGTTGACGTGAGGTGCAGTAGCGTGCAGGTTTGTGCTGCAAGGCTGATTGTGAGTGATGCGAGGGGGAGAGGGGAGCACAAACGCATACACACAGATACATAAAACCCAAAAGCCAAAACTCACTGTCTGATGCAGATGAGCATTGTTTCTCACTGTGCCGCTGGTCAGTGTGCCGCAGCCACGGGACAGGAATAGCTCGTGAGCACCTATGGCACATGCATGCCCAAGCACCAGTGCACACTGTCAGCACAGCAACAGTGCAGTGGCCACCAGCGTTGCCACTGCTTGAACCTTCAGAGCTGCCAGCAACCCTCAGAGCCAAAGATGTGAACTTTGCATTGTGGGATGATGAACATGACATGAGAAGGGATTTACAGAGAGAGCCACATCCTTTGCGTCATGGTGCAAGGCGTAGATGGGGACAGGCACTGCCATGTGGGAGGGAGCAGAAGTGACATCCTCTCTGTCTGCTCCTGTGTGCAGTGCGAGTGCTTCCAGCTGTGTGTTAGCGGCATCTGCATCACATTTGTACCACATGGATCCAATTCCAAAACCATCTTTCAGTTTTCCCTCCATCCTTACTGGAAAGCAAAGCTCTTGATGAAACTGTAATGAAGGTAAGCTTTTTCCAAATAAGGATTCTAAAAACTGAAAAAGAATGTCAGGATTTGGTCCAGTATAAAGGTCGCTTTTGCTTTTATCTTCACAAAAATGACAAGCATCCCTAGTTGCTGTAGTAATTGAGGTCAAAATAGAAGCAAACAAGGAGGAGCAGTGAGAGAGCTAGAGAACCTTTAACCCCACAGCATCTCTGTGCTGCTCGCTAACAAAACATAGCACAAAAAGCCTCCTCATTAGGATGGAGAGTCATGGACCGGCCTGGCAGAGCCGTGTGTGGCATTCATTGCAAAACTCAGAGCTAGCAGTGTCCCCTGCACCATCACTATTTCATGCTGATGCTCAGCCCTGCTTGATGTCTCCCTGCTTGCAGCAGGCTGATTGCTGGGTGCACAGGGGTGCTCCACTGCAAGGACCTGTCTGAGAACGCTCGGGCTGTGCCTCTGTTATTAGGGGACGTCTTGTCTGCCCTTGTGTTTCTGATGTCAGCATGAAATGTCCATCTAGGCTTACTGGACGCTTTGTTCCCGTGCTGGGATTACAGCCTGACAGGGACTTGTTTGCATCTAGCAGCTGATGGGAGCACTGTGGTGTTTAAAGGGCGCTGTAGCCCTGAAGGCAGAAAAGCTCCAAGGAAGCTCAGTGCTTGACCCTCAACTGCTGAGCATGGCTGGTGCTCCCAGGACTGAGCATTGCTTCTCTGGATTTGGATTCCTTCCTGAGCATTTTGCTAGTCCTGATTCTTCTCTTACCTTCTCTAATTTTCCCGAATATCTCTCATTACCCTCTCTCTCTGGCAAGTCAGTGCATCAAATGGAGAGGGACACTGGCAGCTCTAATGAGGGTTCTGCAATCTCCTTATTAACCTTGTGTCCTTCTGTGAAATGATTTGGCTGCTTTTATCAGTCCCTTCTGCCTGCAGCCTCTCTGACTTGTGCCTGTCAGGATTCAGAGAGTTCTTTTGCCTTTGAAACACAGGTTTTTATAGATGCTCTGCATACAGTTTTAGTGGCAATAGTTTGTCTTTTCATCCTTTTATTGTACCGGATGTACCATAGGCAGGCTCCAATTCCTGTTTACTTTAAATGCTATCACAACATTATTACACACGCTTTCCTGATTATATCTCCTCCTCTGCCAGAGGGCTTTCAAGAATTTAAATGTCACACTGGTCAAACATTATATATCATAATCAATACAGGAAGGAGAACTGAAATACAAAACTTTCCAAGAGGAAAGAGCCCAGAAAAGATGCACAGTTAGGAGTGTAAAGGTGGATGCAGCCCCATTGCTACTGCAAGCGCCGGAGGAACTGTCCTGTTTTGGGAGCAGCAGGGAATGGGAGGTGACAGCAGAGCTGCAAACCTGCTGGGCTGCTTGGTATCTCTTCCAGCTGAGGTGGGAGTGCATTTTTGTCTAAATGAGACCCACTGCCTTTTTAGGACTTTTGGTGAACATGTTTGCAGCCATGGGGATCCTGTGCTGAGAGCTGTGGGATGCACGCAGACCTGGGCTTGTGAACACTGCCTCCCTTCCAGGACTGACAGCTCTAAGGAAATAATTAATATCCTAGGCACCCCTGGCAGGCAGTCTAAATGCACTCCATTTTAGTATGGCTGTTTGGCAGAGAATCCAGCATTTTCATCAATACCTATTGGCTTTCATAGAATCAGAATGTTATAGATTGGAAGGGTCCTTAAAGACCATCCAGTTCCCACTCCCTGCTGTAGGCAGGGTTGTTACCCACTGCATTGCCACTCTTTGAATCTGAGCATCCAGACAATTCCTTATCCACAAAGTGATCCCTCCATCAAATCCTGGCTTCTCCCATTTGGAGTCCAGGATATCAGCTGGGACAGTGTCAGATGCTTTTGTACAAATCCAAGTACTTTGGGCACCTGTATTTTAGACCCTGTTTAGAAACAAGAGTGGAGAGCAGCTCTTGATTTGGATACTGTCTGCAGGGTCTCATCTCTCCTCATGCAATGGCACTCCAATTTTGTAACAGTGAGTCAAAACTACTGGCTTTGGTGATTTATCCCTTGCCTGTGACAGGCTCAGGAGTGCTTGTCAGTCCCCCTCAGGCACACGCAGCACCCAGTCAGACACCTCCCACCAGCTCTAACATGACTTCCTAGCTTGTTTTTATTCTTTCTCTTATTTATGACTGTAAAGTAAGTTTTGTCCAGTCCGGGAGGGAACAGGGAATATAGAAAACAATATACAATTCAGTTTGCTGTCTTGCATCCAATTTACAGGAGCTGGTGACTTTGTACAGTACATGCTGTGAAATAGCAGCTCTGACTTGGCACTGGCTGGACAAACAGAGGTGACTAAGCAGTCTGTTTGATTCATGGCTAATAGCCTTATACAGAAGATCCGGGAAACCTCTGGGAAAACTGCCTATAGCTTAAGGAATTGCCACCTGAGAATTATAAAGCTGCTGGGGCACAGCATAGAGCTGTTCACAGAGCTGGGTGAGTGCACCATGAGGTACGGGAGCACCTAGCTTTAGGGCATCACGTCTCCTGGAGCTGCTGGCGAGCAGGATTGCGATGCAGGGCGACCCCGGGACAGCCAGCAGTGATGGGCTCCTGCAGCTGCTGTGGGATCTCCTGTCTCAGGTAGGGCTGTGGGATCGGGAGGAGCAGAAGGTGCTGGCAGCGCTGGGACACGGTGGGTGCTCTGTGATAGAAGTGGGAGAAGTGGGGGAGGGAGATATACCCCGGTGCTGCTGAGCAGGGTAATGTGGAAGGGCAGAGGTCTGCTTTCAGAGGTGCTGGGAACCCAAGCTCTCAGAGGGAAAGAAGGGGGGCTTGAGGTGCTTGTTGTTACAGCACATGGCATTTTGCTGTGGGAAATTGTGGATTATTGGCTAGGTGGAGATGCAGAGAGTGCTCTTGTGAACAGCGGGGGAAAGTTACTTGATTTCTCTTATTCACACAATAAGAACTCTATCTGTCATAAAAGGGTATACTTATGCAGCCTCTGAACATGAGCTGTGATGCCTCTGTGGTCTGCCGTTAGACTTCTGCATTAGTTTTTCCTTTGCCTTATGCACTTCCATCCTTAAGAGTGTGTCCTCGCACCCCACCACCCCTCAGTTTAGATTTTCCCAGCTTGACCTTCAGGATATTTTTGTTCTTAACAGTAGCTGAGATTCACTGAACCTGGTGTTGTAAGGAACTGTTTTGCCAGGCAGGGTTCTTTGGAGTTAAGTAGGTAGGGAAGGAGCTTGGTAGGCTGTTTGAGGGCATTAACTTAGCAGAAGGTGCATGTGTCTCTGACGGCAAAGGGCTGCTCTGCCTTCCTCCCCACACATCCTCAACCAGCACCATTCCCTCACCCCTCATCCCCTGCTCTTTGCTCCGGAGTGCTCTGGAAACACCATGCCGTGATTTGCAAGCTGGTGTGGCTGCAGAGGACCATGATCACTCTGCCTACCCCCAGCTCTGGCAGTGGCAGAACTCAGGACCCTGCACCAGCACCAAGGGCACCAGCCCTCAGTGGTGCCAGCGACTGCCCACAGGAGGTAACAGGGATGGAGAAAGGCACAACCCACGCCATTGGGGTTGGCAAATGCTGGGTGCAGGTGCTGCTTTTGAAGCAAGAGAAAAAGGCATGAGTGCTTGCCACACTTCTCAGGAAAACAGGAGGGAACAAATGTGTGTAGGTAGGGCATAAAATACAGGATTTGCTGGTGGAGAGGAGAGCAACTACTCTGCCTGCTGGTCTGGCCACTGGTGCAGTGTATGTAAAGCACCTCTCTATCACCTGCACAGCAGGGGAAGCAGGGAGGTGCCAGCCCATGGCTTCTGTCTGAGGGGTCTGACCATTATGAGCAAGTAGGGACGAGGCTTGCCAGGCTGTGCTGCTTTTCCATCACCTCCACAGCTCCTCGTGGGGCACATCCCAGAAACAGAGATCTCAAACCTGCATGGGTTTGCACTGCTGTGTGGCCCTGTTGTCTCTTCCCCTCCCCTCAGCCCTGGGTTTCTTTGCTGGCCGTGGCAGCTGTCTCAGCCCTGATGAATTCCTGCAGGATTCCTGCACGTAGGTGCTCTGACAGAGCAAAATGGGGGCAGAGGGAGGAGGCAGGGATCAGCAGCCTCCACGCAAACTGGGATTGCAGCTTATGAAGCTGCTGTGTGCAATGAGCTGTGGATAAAAGCGCTTGCATGCCTGATCCAAAGGCATTAGTGCTCATGTAGGCTCTTGCATACCACGGTTCCTTTGTACATAAACTCCTTGTGTCAGTGTCTTATCAAAAATCTCAGGCAGAACCCAAAGAAGCTGTGCAATATGGGAAACCTGCCAGGTGAGAGCAGCAATCAGGAGCTGCTTCTCTGGATAGCTGTGGTGTTCTTCTCCATCAATTTGGCTGCACATAACTCAGCTGTCAGCTGAACTGCTCTCTGTGAAAGCATCCCTTGTTGCCAGAGCCCAGGCAGTCCTGCTCTGGTACTCCTCAGGGGGCACAGGGCTGATGGAGACAGGGGAACGGGGTCTCCGATTGAGCCAGGGATATGAGTCTCACTAGAGATTGATCAGAGGTTGGGTGGGTTTGTGTTACTTCTTAAAAAGTAATACTTGAGTTTATTCAATGTGGGGTTAGGATTTTACTTTTGAACAAATGGCACTCAAATGAAACACTGTCTCAAACAAGAGCTCTTTAGGTGTCAGAGCCTCTGCCTTTCCTGTTGTTCTGCTCTGTGTGTGTGTGTGTTGAAAGGAGCATGATTTAATATGGTTGCCCTGCAGTTTAGAAATGTTGTGCTAAAGGGCTGGCTGCTAGATTGCTCTTGCGAAGTTTCTTCTGGATCCCATGGAAGTAGCAGATGTTACTGCTCAACAGTGAAGACAGAAGCTTAAAGTTCAAGGAAAGCTTTGCATCAGGCTGGGAGAACAAAGCCAAATCTTGATATTTCCTTGTCAGAGCTCTGTGCCGGATAGTAAATCTCGACGATGAATGTGGTGTGGATATGCAGTTCATTACCACCTGACTTCCCATGCAGATGTAGCAACACATGCATGGTCTCATCTCTCTTGGTTTGTCATGTGCAGCTGGAGTAAGTGTGTCCTGGGAAAAGTGAACATGTCCTGGGGAAAAAAAGAAAAAAGGCAGAACTTGCTTTTTCAGGCTCAGACACTTGAAATATGTGCTTTAGGTGATGACAGTCCCAGGATGCAGAAGATGAGAACTCACTTTCTTGGGCTCCTGGGAAGCTCTTTGTAAATGAATCAGAGCCAATGACCTCATTTTCAGTAAGCGAGGAGGAGAGGTACTTGCTGATTCGTCTGTGGAGATGCCTGATTAAGCTGCAGAGTAAATAATAGGAACAAATTTTTCAGAAGGACCTTTCCCTGGGGGCTTCTTCCCACTGAGTCAGTCCCGGTAACATCAACAAGCAGTGCTACTTCAGTGACTGGAGGAGTCACCAGGGCTGAGTGCTCCTTTCCCCTCAGCTGAGTCGTCACCATGGCTTTCTATTTCCAGCGTACTGCAGCACAAATGCGTTGTAAGTATGCATTGTAGTGGGACCTTGAGTTCAGAGAGCAGGGATGGGGTGGCGGTCCGAGCTTTGCTTTCCTTTTTCCCAAACGTCCACAGTTACTGGGATGATGTCCTCCACTGGAAAACATCCAGAGAAGCCCAGCAAAGAGGAAGAGAGGTAAGCAGAGGAGCACGAGTGGGGATGCAGTAATACGGGCATCAATGGAAACTGTTTTCCAGCAGATGAAATGCAGGCTCAGGGCAGCTGGGCTCAGCCAAGCAGACAGCTGAGTCAGCACATCGTGCTGTTGTCTTGCCTTCCACCCTGGAAAGGGAAAAGGACGCGCGCGTGCCTCCTCCTCCAAGTGCTCTGGATGAATTTCCCAGTGTTCTGGAGCCTGCAAAGCTCTGTGCAGGGTGGGCAAGCCCAGAGGAAGCACAATAGCTGCAGGGAGAGCCTGGTATTGCTTTAGGAGTAGCAGGTTTTGTGGTGCTCGGCTCAGAACTGCCTCTAAACATCACTGGAAAATACTTTGGTCTAATAACACTTTTCTGTTTTCCTGTTTTCCCTAAGTTCACATTCTTTGCCCTGGTTTTTGGCTGACTGATGAATTGATTTATTGCTTTAATAGCAGAAAATGACCATGAGTAAATCCCTTGCTGCCTCCAAGGCAAACTGCTCATGGTTTGTTCGTATTCCAGAGCACACATACTTTGCAGGGTGATTTTCCAGCCTCGGTCCTCAGGTTGACTGTGGAGACCGGGCTCCTCCTGGTGCACTTCCATGCATGGATGGAAGTGCATTTCCCAGGCAGAGCTTTGTCCTGACTCAGGTTTTGTATATCCATACCCTGCCAGCAGCTTGGGCCAGTTTGGATATACATGCTGGACACAGCTGCATTCATGTGACTTCCTGGGCTAAACTTTCTTATGGGGGAAGAAACAAGGTCTTTGTTTACCCGTCTCAATGGAAAAGTTTAGCTCTGGCCTGTCTTGCCAAGGAGGGAAGGAGTGTGCCAGAGTGATAGCACGGTGGGCTCTGGCTGCTGGTGGTGCAGAGGCAGGGCTGGTGCTGGGCATGCTGCTGGCATTGCACCCAGCAGTAAGGGGTGCCCTGGGCCATGGGGATCCTGTGGCTATTTTTTGGCTCTCTCGGCTGCTAAATCATAGAATCATAGAATCACCAAGGTTGGAAAAGACCTAAAAAATCATCCAGTCCAACCGTTCACCTATTACCAATAGCTCCCACTAAAAATAAAGCTGAGCAAGTCCCTTCAATATCCATCAGGGAATGAGCAGGAGAAGCTGTGTTTGTGGGGCATAGCAGTGGGTTGGGAAGGGAAATATCTTCAGCCATGGATGCGCAGAGTAGGGGATATTCAGCTGGCATGGGATGCTCTCTTGCAGGGTTAAAAGGCACAAACTTCCTATATGGCTTTCATTTAAATGGATCAAAACTGCTGCAAAGTTATATTTTAGTCAGGTAATATACCTCTGTGCTTTGAAAACTGTAGGCATGTGGCACAGCTCCTGTTAGAGTTGTTTAATCAAGATCTGCAAAGGGACAAAGGTATCCCATGCTTTCAGGTCTGCGGGCTGCTCTCCTGATCCTGGCTGCAGCAGAACCATATAAAAGGAAGGGTAGACTAAAGAACATTTGTTTAATATATATTTTCCAGTGAAAAGCTCAACTGGACCAGGATTCATTCACTAAGTCCAGCTCTTGAGATCAGCTACTCAGAAAAAATAACGTTTTATATTGTCCTCTACTAATGGTAGGAAGCAGAAGAGCAGGCCCCACATATGCATCACCTGTCCCCAACATTTAAAGCCTTCTGCTGGAGCAGGAGAGCATGTGCGAAGCTGCTGCTAATCCCCAGGCTCAGATCTTGTTGCAGCAGCTTCTCTGCTGATTTTGTCCAGATCCCCACTCCTGTGAGTGCTTCTGCTCCTTGCCTTTGAAGCTGCTTGGACTCAAATTAACTATGCTTTAATGGGATGAGCATCTTCCAAATGAGACTGTTGGCTGCTTGCCATCATTGCCACTTTCCAGATGCTTTAGATGACCCCTTTTTAACAGCACTTCTCTGAAAGAAACCAGAATTCCCTTACCATTTCCAAATCTAGCTGCTCTCCAGGCTGTGCCAGTCGCTGCCTTGTGATTACTTTGCTGGTGTCAGACTGTGTCAGATAAATAATCACCTCCTCAACACATCTTTTGTTAGTACCTCTAACAGGCTGGCTGTTAGAATACCTTGGTTCATTAGTGAGATGCTTTTTCCAGCACATAAACATTTTCATCCCAGAATGAGCGGCTGTTACTACCAAAAACGCGTGCTCTTGTTTATAAGCTGAATAAAGCAGAACACCTTCCATGCTTATGCCCACGTGACAGCCTTGTGAGTGGGACTGCACTGTGCTCCTGGTCCCATGGCATTCACTGGCAGAAGTGATATGCTTTTATTTGCAGATTTATGGTTCTGTGGGTACATCAGCCATACCACTTCTGGGCAGGCATGTTTGCATTTTAAAATCCAGCTTCAGCTCTCATGAGGTTTCTAAGTCTGCCCTTGTAAGCTCCAACTTCAGTTGACACCCTGTGCTTGGGGTCCCTCCTGCTCTGTCCCATGGAGGTGATCGAATTGTGGCCACCAGCCAGGCAATAGCTAGATGGGTGTTAGGAGCCGCATGGTTTTTGCATGCACAGTTATGTTTTTGATTGGGAATGGGGAGGATTTAGCCTCAATATTTGCATATCTCTTGTGCAGAACTCTGAGATGTTCAGCCTGGAGAAGAGAAGGTGCTGGGGAGACCTGGTAGCAGCCTTTCAGTATCTAAAGGGAAATGATAAGAAAGAAGGGGATGGACTCTTTAGCAGGATCTGTAGTGATAGGACAAGGGGAAAGGGTTTCAAACTAAAAGAGGGGAGATTTGGAGTGGACAGAAGGAAGAAGTTTTTTCTTATGATAAGGGTAGAGAAGAACTGAAGCAGGTTGCCCATAGATGTGGTGGATGCTCCATTCCTGGAGACATTCAGAGTCAGGCTGGAAGGGGCTCTGAGCACCTGATCGAGCTATAAGTGTCCCTGTTCATTGCAGGGGAGTTACAGTAGATGGCCTTTAAGGATCCCTTCCAACTCAGATGATTCTGTGATTCTGTGAATGTGCTGCTGTGTGTCCCAGCTGTGTAGTGCCAATGGATGTGTGAGCCTCCTCCACCATGGTGCTGTCACTGGCACTCTAATGGCTTGTAGTGGCAACAGCTGGGAGACCCTTGCCTCCTGGAGGGGGAGCAAATGGAGCCTTTTTAGTAACTCCTGTCACACTGGGAATGCCACTCCTTCTTGTAGCTTCCTGACTTGCTTTCAATGCAGAGCGTCTTGATGTTTGTGCAGGTGAAGAAACAGTAAATCCCAAATGGTCCCATGCAAAAAAAATGCAAACACTGCTGTGGTTAGCTTTCCATCCCAGGTGACAGGGACAGAATGTTTGCAAAGCAGCACAGCTTATTTTCTGCAGATCTCACCTCCTTACTGCTAAGGCCGAGGAACCTTGGGCACTGGTTTCCTGGAGAGGCCCCAGCTCTGGCAGCCCTACGCTACTGCACATAGTTGTGGCTTTGTCTGCCTTAACAGTGTAGGATCTTCTCCTTCACTGGCTGAGCAATGGTCCTGAGCAGTGCTAGCCAGCTGGGCAGGGGAGGCAAAGTCTCCAAAAGGCATGTAGCTCCAAGCTGATGTGTCGATGGGTAACGTGATCTCTGATTGATCTTGGTATCACTCAGTGTGAGTCTGTGAAGTTTTCAGTACTCTTCTGCAGAGAGCTGGACTGCCTTTTCACTTAGGAAATCGTCAAGGAGGTATGAGGAGCTTTTAGCAGTCATCCCGTAGGTGAAATCACCTTTCTGTAGTTTCTTTCCATTTCTAACCAGCAATAGGAGCAACCTGACAGCTTGGAAATGCCTGTGGAGTTGTTTTTTTGTGTTTTTCTTTTCCCTTTTCTGTTTTACTCCAGGAACAGAAGGCTGCTTAAGCCTCTTCATTCAGTACCACTGAAGGAATGTTTAATTCTCCATTAGTCCCTATCTCCAAAAGGATGGCTGTGCTGCAGCCAGCATGCTGGTGGGGGCTGGTGGCCACAGCAGCCACCTCTCAGTATCCATCAGGGATGCAGGGATCAGCCTGTGAGGCACAAGATGCTGCGCAAGGACATGATGCTGAGCTTTTTGGTTTTGTGCATGGGGGATACACAAACAGGTTTGCTAACACAGCAGCAGTGGCTGAATGGAAGAGGAGATGCTAACTTTCATCCTAAAATGCCACCATGAGGTTGCAAAAACACTGAACAGTTAGGCTGCTAGAAAGCATCCCCAAAATGTTAGAATTGTACCCAGTGGGTATGTCCAACACCTGGCTTATTAGCTCCCCTCTGCCCACGTCTGAGGCTCTGTGGTCTGTGAATTGCTGTGCCTGATGCCTTACAGCTCTGGCCAGCGGGTGGCGGGTGAACTCCCGCACAGCCGGGCCCCGGGGGCGGCAGAGCAATCGGGAGAGATCTGCAATTAGTTGGGCAGCAAACATCTCCTAGGGGGACCTGACCCCAGGGCCACCCATATGTGGAGGGATGAGTGGCAGCGGTCAGTATGAGCTGCGATCTGGGATTTGCCTCATCCCACACCCGCACCGTGCTGTTTCAGAACACTCGCAGAAGCGCAGTAGTTCAGCCGGATCTGAACCACACACACGCTCTCACTCTGCACCAGGCGCGTTTCTGGCTCCGTCCTGTGCTTCTTCATTCAAACGCAGTGCAAGCAGCGCGCAGCACGCCCTGCAGGATCCTGCTGTGTCTTGCTGATCTCTCGATAGCTTGCTCAAGAAAGCCACCTCCTGTTCTGCGAGCTTCAACACCATGTAATGGAAAAATGTAGAAGCGGGGCCCAGCTGTGCGTCACCGGCTGCCTTGGCAACCTCCGCCCGCGCTCAGCTCGGCCATAGGCGCGCAGGGCTGTCTGTCTGCTGCGGCGATGGTTCGCAGTGCTCAGCATCCTGTGGCCCTTAGCAGGGCAGCCGGGGAGAACAAGGAAATACCAGGGCTTGCTCGTGCCACTGGAGCCTGCTGGGCGCTAATGCAGCAGGAATTTAGGAACTCTGCAAGGAATTCCGTCAGTCTTCAAAGAAGGGACAGAAGCATCTGGCAGTTGGCCATTGCGCTTGTGTTAGTACAGGAAAAACACCAAATTTTTCCAACTC